AAATAGTAGGTTGAAAGTTCAAAACCTATTAATAGTAAAACTTTGGATAATTAGCTATATAATATATAGACAGTATTATAATAACAGCAATCTGTTGATCAGTTAAAATAAGATATTTGTAACTATAATTATACTAATATAACTGACAGATTATAGAGCATCTGTATAACTAATTATACAGAGAAATGCAAACTAGTAATAGATAGTGCAAATTTAAAATAAATTCTTATAGTTATATAAATTTGCAAAATTGAAAAGCTGAAGCCTATTTAAAAAGACCCAAATAAAAGAGATAGTATAGATCTTTGATAATACTACTGTAAAGGTTAAATCTAAAAAACAGATACCAATATAGAGAAATTAGGCAAACAAAAACCTTATATAAGAAATACTATCAACTAGGTTGTCAGAAGTCTCAAATCAATAAAAAAAAATATTAAATATTATAATTTTAATATATTAAGAACAGATTATAGTTCTTTTGACTAGTTGAATTAGATATTTAATGCCAAAAGCAAAAGTATATTATAAGTACTAGAAATATGCTATAAAGTAGATACTAGATTTAGATAAACTTTGCAAAAATAAGTTCTGTTAACAAGGACTAAATGTGGATAGTTAGTTAGCAAGAAGACCTTCTAGAACCTTACAGTTAGATGATATATTCTAAAATATATAATGGTTTAATAGATATATAGACAAGAAGGTTAAGATTAGATTAGATGCTATTTAGATATACAAAAACTTGTATAGTTATTTGTTAGATATAGTATAGAAATTAAAATATTTAATTAAATAATCTTTTAGCAAATTACAAATATAGCAGCTAGTTAAAACCTGTATATAGACTACTTAAATAGATAGCCAAAAGCTGTATATATAACTAGTTGTACACTCATCTTGTACAAGTTATATGACTATAATTAAGTTACAATAAAGACAGTAGTTACTAATAACCAACAGCCTTAGCAAAAGCAAAAATAAATAAATAAATAAATTAAATATAATATCAAAAATATCAAACTTTTATAAATAGGCCTAGCTAGTAGATTATAATAATATTAAAAGTATTTATATACAAGCTTTGTTAAAAATTAAAAATTAAAAAATATAATCACTTATTTAAGTAGAAAACCTTACAAAAAAAAGAAAACTTGAAAAATCAAATCCAATATATACTTCACATTTATATTTATATAAAACATAAACTACTTCTATTGCTAACAAGCAAGATATAAATGCTTTTTTTAAAACTTTTTTATTTGAAAAAATCTTTTAACACTGTTTTTAAAAATATTGTCTATAACATATAAAAAATAAACATTTAGTAAGTAGTTTATTATCAAAAAAATGCAAAATCTAAATATATATACTAACTTTTAAAATAAATAATATATCAATAAGGTAAAATCTGATAATCACAAGCAAAATTAATATAGTACATTAAATAAATCTTTTTTTTTATTATAGTTATCATACTTTTTTTAGCAGATAGGCTTTAAAGAAAATAAACAAATTTGTAAATGTGAACATACAAAAAAAATGTTTACAAAAATACAAAAACACTTAGAAAAATTATTTCTCATTGGCACAGTAAATCTGCAACAGAAAATGACAACTAAACAAATGTGTAGTGAATTGGAAAAACATACCAAGATTTCTAGTATTTGCAATTGGATTTCAGGCTTTTCATGTCGATGGAAGGAGGTGATAGCACTTCGCTCACTGGAAGAAAATTTATCAGAGAATCTTTAGAATATTTTTTATATTCAAAAATTTGTATGGTTTTTGTTATTGCGCATAATAAAGCATAAATATATTGCTCAATAAACTAATAGTACTATATATATTTTGCGAAACAGTTCTTAAAAAACAAGATATACTAACTAATAGTCAACTTATTAGACTAGTTACCAAAATCAAATGTACAATGTATATTCAGAAAACTGGTATACTAGGTTGTGATGTAAATTGGGTTCATGCAGTAGGCGCAGCGTGCATTTGCGTGTATATAGCGCGTGTCTAAATTTTTTTTTTTGTGAATAAATTTTTTTTTGATTTATAACACTGGTTCCTCCTGTTTAGCAATCGCCTAAAATTTTTATCCTGTTACGCACCAAAAAGAATTTCTGAACGACAACTTACAAAAAATATACAACGGACTTGCAAAGGATTTGGAAGAAGTTCTTGATGCAGAGTACTTTAATAAGAATACAATAAATACTTTAAGAAATATTAGAGAACTTGAAATGTAAGTAGGCTATAGTTTTGTTGATCCATGGCTTTTGCTTGCGAGGAGAAGGTGGGTAAGAAGGACTGCGAGTCACTTGTATGTAGCAAACTTGGAGACTGTAAGTCATTCGAGTTTGTATGTCTTGTGGCTGTAGATCACTTAGACCTTACCCACACAACTCGCATTCAAATCCATTATTTACTAATGACTTTTGTTTGCTTTTGAAGTGCTTTGCAACCTAATTCACTTGTCTACGAAAAATAGTAGCAGTGTCACTGTGTCTATACACAGCAACAACGTTATTTTTTCAAACTAATTTGGCTGCTGTAAAATCTTTGGCAATACATTTTTTACTGAACTGCTTGAAATACTAGTCACTTAAACTGCTTTTTGTCGAATTGTCATAATAAAACTCGACAACATTACGCGTGTTTTAAAATCTTCAAGCAACTGATCACAATCAGCATCCGAACTAACGGTTTCAATATTAATAGTGCCATCAACAACTTAATAACCGATGCCTTCACTATGATCAGCTTGTTTTCAACATAGCCAATCAGATATTCATGCCACGACTTATACAAATGAACTAAAACCGTATTACTATGAGCAGCATCGACGCTGCTTCCATCAACAATCATTATCAGATTATCACATAAAGAACTTCACATGAAACGGAAGTTCATCGCCGGTATAATTATCGCAACTAGCGCCCTGGCTAAAATTATAATTTAATGCATGCACGAAGATCTAATTTAAGGAGTTTAATTTTAGCCAGGCGCTCGCTACTTTAGATATATCACTACTCAACCACATAGAGGTTGGAACCTGTTTTAATCATTCGGGTTTATCACATGAATTATGTGATATTTTAGAATTTACTAAAATTTAATTAGATAAATTTCTAAAATATCACAACATTCATGGGATAAACCCGAATTATTAAAACCGGTTCCAACCTCTAATTCCACATTTAACGGCCATTAGGTCCTTCAAAGGACTGGAGAATTGACTGTTGTTCATTTTACAAACAAAATAATGCTAACAAAAAGGTTGACAAAATTGGTTGACTGTGATCTTTGCACTAACGCACAAATTTGTAATAAATTAAAGTCTATTTTATATAGAATATAGTTTTTTTAAATAAAAGTGAACGGCAAGATTATTAAATTATTATTTAAAATTTTTAAAAAATTTTAAATTTAAAATATTTCTTAATAATAACCAATCAAATTTAATAAATTTTTTTTTATTTAAATTTTATTGATCTGTAAAATTAAAATACAAATTACTTTTATTAAATTTTTATTTAACAGTTATTCGTTATTTAAAGATTAAATTTGGGTAAAAATTGTTGCTATCGCTATATAATTAAATATGGCGGGGGTCGTCCTACTGGGGGTAACTCACGCAACATTAACGTTAATTGACCCATAATCTATAAGTCATAACATGTCATAAGATCATAGCCAATAGCTCATGACGAGTCATAAGCCAATACTGATTGCAACTGTAAACTTTTTTTTTGTTCGGAATCATACTGATATCATTTACTCAATCGGTATGTAAATGCATCTGCAAGTCAGCACAAGCCTATTACTATAATAGTTCGTATTTGTTCTAATTGAAATAATATATTTTTTAATTTCAACATATATATAATGTATTAAAGATATGAAAAAAACGCTAGCCCTTTCCACGTAGAAACTCATTTAACGTTAACAGAATTTCTACTGTCCATGCGATCTCTAATCTACCGCTACTAATATTTGAACTCTCTTCATGCAGTATTCTTCTACAAAAAAGGGTAAAAGGCTTGGAGCTAAACATGCGAATAAATAAATAAATTCATCCTTTAAAAGATAAAAAAAAGAATACGTAAGATATAAATAATATATATATATATTATATAATATATATATATATATATTATATATATATATATATTAGTATATATATATATATATATCGATATATAACGGTTAAAAACAGGATCAAGCTTTTTTTTCCCTGATATTGTCACTGCATCTATATCGGTATGAATGATTTAGTATCACGCACGAAAAGACATGATTTGACAAAGCAGTTTCATACATGCTAGAAATGGCTTCATGTAAGCCATGAAAATTAGATTCATTGAAAGTCTTTTTTCGCTATGAAATTACTGAGTAACGGTAAAAGATCTATACAATTGCCGGAATTTTTAAGTCAATAATTTTCTGCGGGTATTACTTGATGGAGCCCTGATTCCATTCCCTTCGGAGATCATGCGTAATCGTACGTACTTAACACGCCAAACGTTGCCTATCATGTATTACAATTCATTGAATTTCATAAAAGACTTAATATATATTTTTGATTTCCCAATAAACAAATAAAATAATCATGCTTGTCACATATGAAATCATAGTTCCAAAAACTATATAATAAAACGTTAATCCTTTTTTGTATGTTTTTTTTTTTCTTTATCACGCACTTTTTGAGTTCTTACCATCTACAATTGATTACGATGGATATTTTCTCTATTCGTTATTCTAACGGATATTTGCCATCGTTTCATCAAAAAGCCGCGGCAACCACAGGTAAACTTTAATTACCAATATGGTTGCAATTACCATTTTAAAAAAAAATGTGTATGATATACGTTATGCAATGCAAGATTAATTTTGCCAATAGAAAATCATTATTAAATCATATACATGATATACATGTCTCTACTCAAAATTATACTAAAACTTTATTACACTTTCGCATTTTCAATCTAGCGATGAGTTCTACAAAATATTCTATTACAAATACAACTAAACGTACCCCGTCGAGAATACAGCCAAATGTTTTTACTGCTCCAAATGTTTCTTCATTCTTGAGCTCAGCACCAACTTGTACACTGATCTTGGATTCGTTGACTGAACTTTTTGGTACAAAACGTCTTTTATTGGTTGAAGGTAAACCAATCAAGATTGGCAGATCAATAAACAAGCTAACAAATCCGGCTGAGACAAATGGTTACTATGATAGCAAAGTTCTTTCGAGGACTCATGCTGAAATTTGGCTTGAGAACGGAAAGGTACACAATTTTATATACGGAAATGAAACGCAGTTATATTATGGAATTATGGTGCTTTAGTCATGAAATTGGTGGAAAGTCTGGTAATAGTATTAGGAATTAGATAATTGAAATTCGATAATTAGAATTAGATAATTAGAATTTAGTACCCATAATGTTCTCTGAAAGCTTTTATGATCAACAACTAGTCAGATCCTTAATGTGACTCTTGGCATTCGTATTTCTCAACTATTTGATGTGATATGATTCTAATATTATTGATTTGATTCCTAGATTTATATTAGAGACATGAAGTCGAGCAATGGAACATTCGTTAACGGACGACGTATCAACTATATTGAATATGGAGAAGATGAAAAAGTAGAGTTAAAAATATATGATATCGTGGTATGCATTTATCTTATATTTCAAATAAATCTATGAAATTTTATTATTTCTCAATTTATTTGATGTATTATAGGAGTTTGGTATTGATATCTTTAATGACCAAGATAAAAAATTATTGTTCCGTAAAGTGACTGTGTCAGTTAATTATATAAAACAGCAAAATAAAAATTCAAGCACAAAACACAAGTCTAATAAGTAAGTTAATAATTTTGATATCATTTTAAATATAGTTTATTATATTAACAATTTAAATATCTATTTAGTGTTTCGGTAAAAGATGATGAAGTATGAATCATGGATTTTATAATATAAGTTAAACTTGATGATTTAGTACTCTTATGTTTTCTTTTTTTTAAATATAATCTTAATTGGATTACAGGATACGAATGATATAACAAATTTCAATTTTACTTTAAATCCGGGATCCTCTATTTATGACTTTCTTGAGGTAATATTATTAATTATTTATTGTATAATTTTCTTAGATTATTTTGAAAGATATTAATCATTGATTTGTTGTCTCTTATAGAAAGAATTACTAAACTGTCAAGAAGAATCTCAGCGATTAAATGAAATGAGTACGACACTAAATGATATCACAAATCTCTTTGATAATACGGATAAGGTATTATTACTCAATATTTGATTTGAAATTATTGTGTTGTCAATTAATAAATAATTATAATCTAGGTGCTAATAACCAAGACTACCAATGTTCTATCTAAACGTGATTCCTGTCCTGAAAAGGGTAAACTTGAAAAATCGTTGGACAATGTTATACATAAGGAAAATCGAGAGAATGGCCGAGAGAATAGGGGTGAACCATCTACCATTAATCTAAATGGAAAAGGATCGTGCATAACTTCAACAAATAATGTTTTTGAAGATTTGAATTATATTAAATATGATAACAAAAGGACAATAAAATTACATGATGATGAAATTGGTCGTTTAAACGAAGAAATTAAACGATCCAACGAAAAATTTGAAAATCAAGCTCACACTATTGTTCTAAAAGATTGTGAGATAAAAAGTCTTCAAGCGGATAATAAGCGTCTAACTAATGAAATTTCAAAACTTCGACAAGACTTGGAAAAATCTAATACTATCTACAATAAGTATCGTGAACTTGTCGAGAAAGAACAATCAAAACACAAGACTGATACTGAAATGCTAATTTTCTCACTTCGAAATGAATTAAAGGATTTACAAAAGACTAACTCTATGGTTAAATCACTGCAATCTCAATTAGAGGATTCTCGTGCTCTTAATGAACTTTTGAAAAAGAATTATGAATCTCTAATAGAGGAAAATAAAAAATTGCGTGAAAACATTCGTAGAGCTAAATTTGAAAAAGATACACAACTGGATTTTGTAAAAAAGTTGGGCCACGAGATTGCAATGAATTCTGGATTAGAAAATGATTTATCAAAATCATCATTACCTCAAGTGACCCGAAACGGACATTCAAAACAAATATCAGAGCCAATTAAAGACTCTGAATGGACGGGTGAAAGTGACGGAGATGATGAATCACCGATAATTAACATTAATTTAGATAATGTATTTAATAAAAACAAAGTTGTGGTGAATGGTGTAATAATAGAAAATAATACTAAAAGTAATTGTATAGATGTTTTTAATGTAATTTCTACAGATCAAGCTGAGAAAGATAGTTATGAAAGCAGAATAATAACTGACAAGATCGCGAATAATAAACAAGAAACTATCAATGGTGACCTTAATAAAAATAAGTTGACCAAAAAATGTTCACGGGCAGTAATAACTTCTTCGAAAGGAAGAGTTGTTAAAACCGCAAAAAATGGGTCTAGGACTGAGTCATCTGATAATGGTCAGGTTGTGAAAAAAGTTGGTGAAGTAAAATCGGAAAGAGGATCTCAATTAATAAAGGTAATTTTATTACTTTTAAGAATTAAAATAATCTACCGTATTTTCGCGTAACAACATGCATTAGTATTTCGGGATGTGCATGTGATATTTTTATACCGAACATAATAGATTTGGTATGATAAATATATAGTATTAACTATATGTACCAATCCAACTAGGTTCATATGCATTGGGGGAGCGTTATTTTGAGACGCGCATGGGCGTTATTTGAGTCAAATATGCGATTTTCAAAAAAGTGAAGATTTTAAAATAATGCCCATGTGTGTTATTACGCGTAAATACGGTAATTCTCAAATATAGCTTTTTTTTTGTGAACAGAATCGATATGTTAAAAGGATTATTTTTATTTACAAAACCTATTTATTTTTCTTTTTTAAAACCTTTTATTAGGGTACAAGCAAGTGCTGGATTATTGGCTGTTTGTTGTAAGTATATGTGTATTATATTTAATCACAATGTAATTTTACAACCATGAATTTATATAACCTTTCTATTGTATCTTATCACTTACTGGTTTAATTAATAGGACTTTACTTTTCCTACATTCCATGATCATAATATTCATTCAAACCACATTCTTTCGCATTCCAATGAGTCAAATCTCATTATCATGGTTAAGTCCATCAGCGTATAATAATTTTTTGTTATCTGAAATATCAACATGGAATTTTTCCTTGTTAAATTGGTTAAATTTGAATTTGTCATGGCTTAATATATCAACATGGGATTCGTTGGTTTGGGATTTACCAATTACTGAAATGGTACCTTGGAACGTTTCAAAGATCAACGTTGAATCGTTAAAAATAGGGGCATCGGCTTTAGAGTTTTCGGTGGGTTGGGTAGTGTATATAGTATACGGATATTTTGTTTTAGGATCGATTTTAGCATGTTTTGTGTGGGTTTTTTTGAAATATACTGAATGATTATTCATCATACGTTTTTTGCATTAATTAATGAGAATGGTAAAACAAATTTCTTGTTTAATACTTTTGTAAGCTTTAACCCAATAATTTTTCTGACGAGTCGAAGAAAACGAGATCGAACTAACTTATTATTCAAAAAAAAAAACTAGTTATTAATTTTAAAATTCCAAGACATTTAATTTTGCACATAGAAAAGACATTTAACCTAGATATTCTACAATATATATAATAATACATAATCATTATTGATAATACAAGACGGACAAGATCAATATATAGTAGCTTGTTGATTGGTGTTTAATATTCTGTAAACCCGATTAATAGTCGTTAATAGCATTAATTGTTAATAGGACATAAGTGAGTTTATAAATGAGTTTATAGCGTTATTAACAGGTCAACTTTTTCCTTTTTTCGGTATTTACTGTTTGTAGATTATTCTTTACATTCCTTGCTATCATATAATGCGATATAGACCACATTTCATTATACATGTTTTTAATTCGATAACGAGTCATTCATGAAAAATTTGCAGAAAAATTTGACTAAAGAGCTATTTTGTTATTGATAATTCGAACAATTTCCATAAATGAATTCTCTCGAGCACGTGTACATTATAGAAGGATGTCTTTAAATCCATATCATATCACATCAGATTAACTTTATATAATATATATTTGTTTAACTTTATTTAAACATTTCATGCATATTACTTTAGTTTGTACGTAAGTACTTTTTTATAATTCAATGTTCATGAAGATCACCTTTCACAATTTATATTAATGAGCATAGAATGCATATTTAAAAAAAATTTTGCATTTTTACATGTCATTTACAATTTACCCAAGTAGTTTCATATACACAATCCAAATACTATTAAAATTAATTTTGGGATCTGAGTTCTTAAATTATAAAAAAATCGATTTACTTCGCCTTTAATTTCTCTTGCAATATTTAAATTCTATAAAATCAATATGTTTAACGAAATAGTGCAGATTCGACTCCGGCTGGTGTCATGCTCAGTATGTTCGTGCCCAGATTAATGCTCCTAATGGATGACCCGAAATTGACCTAGTGGCCATGGTTATATAAATCCGATAACAAGCGGTGGTTGTAGGTAGGTAGGTGGATATGGGGATCAGAGTGTTTAAATAGGTGGGTTCTAGATACACTGGCAATCATAAATAATGCAACACGTGATAATTTTTATAATAAAACATAGTAACTATTGAAATTTTCACTTTATAATAAAAATTTTTAGAAAAAATTTTTAAAAATAATTTTTTGAAATATTATATTCATAACACCCATGTTATATAACACCTATATAGTTTTAATTAGAGTTAGGGTCCAGCTTTAAGATAAATAGGTGTTTTTTATTATACAATATGTATTAGATATAAGATCTTGATAGGTTCCGATTTCAGTTCTCGTGAGGTTTTTTGGGGGTCCTGAACATATTTACTTAGAGTACCCGATCCCGTTTACTTAGTATGTTTTTGAGATATTATATAAGGTGTTATATAACATAATGTTATAAATATAATTTTTCTAAAATATTTATGGCAAAGTTGTTTTAAGATTGAAACCTTAGTAAAAAAATTTTTATAAGTATTAGGTCATGCAAACTTAATAAATCAGTTCTCATAACTCGACCAGATCAAAATTTAAAAAAAATTTTCAAGTATATTTACTATCCAGGTAAGTTTTTTAAAAAAAATTTATATGTTTTTTATATATATAATTTTTTGAAAATAAAATTAAAAACTAGGTTGTTAGGTCATTTTTAAAAATTTTATATTATGAGAACCAATTTATTAAGTTTGTATAACCTTATAAATTTTTTTTTATTAGAGTTTCAACCTTAGAACAACTTTGCTATAAATATTTTTAAAAAATCTAAAAAAATATTTTTTAGAAACTACAAATAATGAAATTTATTCTAATATAAAAAAATTATTTTAAAAATTTTTTTTAAAAATTTTTATTATAAATGAAAAATTTAATAGTTACTATATTTTATTATAAAAATTATCATATATTGTATTATTATTTTTTTAAAAAAATATTAATGATGAAAACATGTTGCATTATCTCTGATTGATAATATATAGTAATTAGTATAAAATTTTAGATAAACTATTAATTTTTTTTTTCTTTTGCTAAGGCCATAGTTATCAGCAGCTATTACCTTTATTGTATTTTAATTATGATTACATAACTTGTACAAGGTGAATATACAACTAGTCACACATACAACTTTTGGTTGTCTAATTTAAGTAGTCCATTCGCACAGCAGGTTCTACACTAGCTGCTATATCTGCAATCTACTAGGAGATTACCTATTTTAAACACTCTGATCCTTATACTTACACTGACAAATAGCACACAAGTTTTCATATATCTAAGTGCCATCTAACCTAACTATGACCTTCCTGTCTGTACATTTGTCAAGCCATTACATATTTCAAAGTACATTACCTGACTGTAGGGTTCCAGAAGGCCCTTCTGTTAACTAACTACTCACATTTAGTATCTTGTTAACAGAGCTTGCTCTTGCAAAGTTTATTCAGATCCCAGTATTGACTTCATAGCATATCCCTAGTACTTTAGTATACCTTTGTTTCTGATCTCAAACTTCCAATTCAGATAGCCCAGTAGGACTATAACCTGTCTCTGGTATCCCAGGATCTGCCTTCCAAGAATCTTTTTCTCTGGTTCGAGACTTTTGGTAGCCTGGTTTGTAGTACTCCTCACCTGAGGTTCTTGCTTACTCGATTCTTTCTACATTGGTATCTGTTTTCTAGGTCTAGCCTTTACAGTAGTACTGTTGAAGATCTGTGTTACCTTTCTACTCGGGTCTTCCCAGGTGGGTTTCTGGTTATCCCAGTTTATAGATTTATATAATCAGAAATCCTCATGACCTGTCAGTTATTTGATGTAACTGTATTACAGGTACTGATCCCAACTGATCAATAGATAGCCATTACCGTAGTACTGGTTTCAAGAACTTATCTTGTGTTTGCATCATCCAATGCTAGTTTGCATTTCTGTGTAACTCTAGCATTGCACAGATGCCCATATACACTGATATAACATAAGTGGTTTTCCAAATTTTTGTCGTCAATGGGTTTTGAACTTCCAACCTATCACTTGGGAGGTTGACAACTTATTCACTTCACTAAGTCACTACATCCCTGATAAATTATTTAAATTAGATAATAATTAAAGTTACATAAATAATTAGTTGTATATATATTTTTATAATTGTTCTTTATAGTTATAAAGCAATTATTAGTTGAATATATTATTAATAAAGTTTAAGACATTTTAATATTTTTTAAAAAAGTTTTATACTCTTTCTGCTGATTCTTAATTTCTAAATAAAGCCAAACAAACATAAAGAACAAACACAAAAACAGCCTAATAAACCTTATTTTAAACTCTAAAAAAAAAAGACTCAGTATACAAAATATAATTACTTTGTTTTAACAACAATATAAGTAAAGTTTTGTTAAACAAAAGCTCTTATTAGTTTTTTAAATTTTAAAAATTTTTTTCAACAAAATTGGAAAACAGTACTAGACCTTGAAAAACAAAATTAAAACATATGATTAGTTATCAATACAAACAAAACAACATGTCATGTTATACTAAACAACAAATAGTAACAACAAATAGCTTTATTAAGAAATAACAAGTAAGTATAGCATGTAGAATAAGCAAATGAAGGAACAACAGAATAGTCTAGAAATAGAAGTACAAACTAAATTAGAACTATTATGCATAGTGTTCTGCATAAACCAGATCTAATAGATATTTCTAAAGATTCAGATCTGTTCTGAAAAATTAAATTGAATTCAAGTAAAGATTCAGATCTATATTTAATAAATTTAAATCTAATTCAGATTCGATCTGGATCTATCTTAGGCACTTAACAATTATAAATATATATTGATGATGCTAAGGGAAAACTTGATTCTGTTAGTTATAATTAATTATTTGTTATTAGCTAGATTTAGCTTAATCCAAGATATATTAATATATATATGATACATGATAAATGATTGCTACAAAAACTTCAGGCTTTCAAATATATTTGAAAGCCAAAGTCTGATTTTCTTTTGTAGCACTTATTTTAATTATATATTATATACCTATTAGTATATCTTGGATTAGAGCTGATAATAAATAATTAACTACATCAGAAAATTTGATATAGGGATATATAGTGATTAGTAACCCATTAGATATATATCAATACTAATCATCCCTGCTGGGTTATATCAATTTTGGTATAAACTGATATATAACCAGCTTTAAACAATCGATATATATTTAATAAGGTTATTAATCGATATATAACCAGTTTAATCAAGTACTTTTTTTAAAAGACAATATCACTAATAAAATATTTATAAAACATATTATTTATAAAGCCAATTACAATATATAATATAAATTTATTACTGTTACTAAAACTGTATA